TCGATTTCGAGTTCGAGAATCGTAGGAAGTATATTACGTGTTCCACCGTTGGTACGCTGTAATCGCATGTTTTGTAGGAAATGAAAACTTGGAATAAAAAATAAAAAACTGTAATCTAAATCAAATACAAAAAATTCATGAGACATTTTAGAAAAGAACAAAAATATTCATATAGTAGATAAGAAATTTGTCAATACTTTAAACTGTTATTATTTCGTGAAAAAAATTTGTAGAACAATTAACTTAATTTTTTATTTTAATGAGTGGGGTCTCTGCTTTAACAAACTTGAGTTTATTTCGTTCAAAGATATTTATTTTTACATCATGCTGCAAGTGTAAAAATAAAAATATTTTTTTCTCGAAAATTGTAGAAATTCAAATAATTTCAAATAAATACATCTCGCTGAAGAGAAGGTGTTCAATGATTTTTCAATCATTGAACATCTTTTTATGATCAGATCAATCATGATCTTGAAAATTGAAATCTTCCTTTACATTGATCCCTTAATATTACCTCTAATTTGTCTTCACTAAATACTTACTGAGCTTTAAACAATAATTGATTAATTTTTAACGAATTATAACAACAAATGACCAACCGTATGCAAGTATCATTGAAATTCGTCATAACAAATGAATTCATCAAAATTTCGAAAACGAATGATCTGCAATAAATAATTTACACCATATAATATAACTTTATTTATGAAATCAAATATATACTAATCAATATTTGTGGGAACATTTCTTCGATACTTCCAAGCTTTTCACTTACAGAATTCACTCAAACTCTGAAATTATACTCTAAAAATAAGTAAAAACCGTCATATCTAATTCATATCTAATTATGTTATTAAAAAATATATTTCGATCAATCTTTTTTAATACCTTTAAATAGATGTAAATAATCAAATATATAATGAATTTTTCATTCCAATTCCCATCAATCACTGTTTTAAATCGTTATATTCCTTCATTGATGAAGTATCACCACGTTTCAATTCAATAAATGATCTTTGAAGCAGATGTGACAGTACTATCCATATTTTTTAATTTTAAATTTCATCACTAGTAGTGCTGCAGTGCAAAACTTGCATGAATCGGTACGACAGGATGTGACACGAAAATAGTATGCTGGACCTGAGACTTCCGAATCGTTGGCCGAAAAAATACATTGTATGCAAGGTCTGCTCATACACCTCCTCTGTGAAATAGGCTATAGACGAGATATATGAATAGACCAAGCACCTTATGGAGTTTCGTGGCCCGTAACCTGAAATACCGACATAATAAAAAAATCACTGGTTCTTTAGCGCTACAGTGCAAAACTTGCCTAAATCGGTACGACAGGATGTGATACGAAAATGGTAAGGTATTCCTAGGAAATCGTGGGACAAAAAAAAAAAATTCATTTACCTCATCTGTGATAATATACATGTTTTACGGAGGTTTTCTCCTTTAAATAAATATATTACGAGATTTAGGAGCTATTAATGTTAATAATGAGAATATACAATAATAATAATAAAAAGATTATATAACGACCGTTTGCTTTGATTGATTATTAACAATCGAGAATACAAAATATTTTCTGCTACCTTATTTCTTCATTTTTTATCTGCATCGCTTTTTTAAATATTCGCGTCGCCACAGTCTGTTTGCTGTAAACGCTCTCTGGAGGAGAGAACACTACATTTTGAGTATTGTGAACTTTGCCTTTAACTGCGCTAGTAGGTAACAAGTAGGTTCTGCATACAGAAGTTAAGTATGTTGTAAAATAGATGTAGACATACGAATTATTTTTAAAACTGCATGAATTCTTTTCTGTCAGTGCGTTTCACCTCGCATATATTGGAAAATATATCTGTGTTGTAAACCTTTTATATTTGCACGAATAAAAATGGAATATAATGTCTTTCGTGGTGAGAATGCTTTCTGATATAACCTTTTTTAGATTTGCGTAACGTACAGTTCTGTAGAATTCCAGCGAGTCGATTTAAATTTGAATTTTTTGCAGATTATTGTAAAGCCGAAAATAGCGAAGACGAAGACGTGAATCATGATCTACAATCACGATTGTATGCTGAAATTTATTACGCTTCGAGTGATATAGATAACGTAGACACAAAGTCAGATATTAAGTTAGAAATTGTTAATACTGACGATGACATACTTCATATAGATGCGAACGATAGTTATACTTCTCTAAAGAATAATAACGAAGATTGCAAAAAACTAGATAATTCGGTTAACGAATTAGAAGATAATAAGCCAGATATTATTTCTGTTAGCGTTTCAAGCACATCTGAGACATTATGTAAGGACAAAAGTGACAATGTCTCGGCTGTAACAGTGAAAGAAGAGGAAGAAGGAAAAGATATCGAGCTTTCAGAGAATAAAAAACAGTTAACAAGTAACAGTGTAGAATATGTTACAAGCGGATTAAATTGCAATGACATCCGTGACATTGAAAATGATATAAAACCAAAAATAGAAGATGAAAATAAAGAGGAGTTGAAACTTTTACAATGTTCGAATAACAAAGCAACTACAAATCAATGTGTTTCTCCAAATCCTACAAAACACGATAGTGATAACAACAAATACCAGGAAACTATGTCAAATGAAAAAGACATTAACAATATTTTAAGAAAGTATGAATTTTCTAAGTCGTTTATTAATAAACTGTACTTAGAAAAATATGAAAACTTAGAAAAGAAACTACAAGAAGTAGAAGAGGAAGAGAGATTACAAGAAAAACAACAAGAGAAAATGAGTGTTAAAAAATCTGTAAATGACAAAAAAATAGATACGAAATATGAGGTTTTTAGTACAACTGAAAAATTACAAAAAGCTGTTAATTATTCTGAGGAAATAGTGTTATCATCAGAAACAGAAAGCGACTCCGATGAATCTATTTTAGAAGTACCTATTCCCCCAAAACCTCAACCACCGATTATAAATTTAAAGGATTCTGATGAAGAGTCAAAAATATCAAGCAATGACAGTGATATAGGAGACGAACTTTCGTTTGTTAAAAGAAAGAAAAAGAATTCAGTAAAAAATTTTGAAAAAGAAACTTTTACAATTGATCAGTATTTAGAAAATTATGTCTCGAATACAGATTCCATTGATGATACATCAGGGAGAGAAGATATAATATTAAACTGTACAGAAATACAAAAAGGTGCTTCAAATATAAAAGAGATAATGGAAATGAGTAAAAACATTCAGTCAGAGCGACATGTTGATAAAGACAGTACATCTGAAATCCAATCACCATCAAAAATGGTCCATGCAAATGTTATATATGAAAGAGACAAAAATGAATCAATTAATTTTGCAGAAGATGTAACAGTAACAAATTTTCTTAATTCTCATGAATCAACTCCAAATAGGAAAAGGTATTATGATCCTTGTGACCCTTGTACAAGTGATAGTGAACCTTGCACAAGTGTAAAACAAAGAAAAAATATAGAAAGTGAAGATGATCATTTGAAAGAAAATACTGAACATGATAGTAATGCTAAAATTAATCAAGATTGGGAAGAATACTTTTTTCGTCCTATGTCAGAAAAGCTTAAAGCTTTCTATGAGTTTCAGGGACAACAAGATTTTGATATAAAAGAAATTCAAAGTAAAATGTCAAGTAAATTATTCGAAATTAATATAATCCATTTTCTTCACAAATTCACTTAAATTCACAAATTTATTATTTTTAATTATTTTGTATTATAAATAAATTATAGGTGATCCAAGACTTTGGACCATTTTAGATGAAGACCTAATGCCCGAACTGTTCAGACATCAAAGATATTGGCATATGAAATGTACTAAGTGTCGCCAACAAGGTCATCAGAGACATAATTGTCCAGAACCATACAAGCCTCTTCGATGTCATATGTGTGGTACTCAAGGACATACAGAAACTCGATGTCCTCAAAAAATGTGTCTCACGGTTCGAATATATATTGTCAAGAATATGTCATGTATTTAATTCTTCTAAATGTATTAATGTGTTAATTTTTTACAGTGTGGTAAAAAGCAGGGTACATTTAGAAAAACTTGTGAAGCTTGTCGCATACTACACTGTAACATGTGTAATGCCGTAGGACACAAATCAACAGAATGTCCAGATCTTTGGAGAAGATTTCATCAAACAGTGAGTTTGCTGTTGCATACAATATAAATAAATACTTTTCACGTTCGCTACCGCCATTTGAAGGAAAAATCGCACAGAAATATTAGACTTTTATAATTTTATATAATATTACATATCTTTTTTTATATATATTATCAAAATGTTCTAAATAAACGACTGGAGTACATATATGTGTCATTGGGGTGCAGATAAATCATTTTTCACTGTGGACCATGAATCACATTAATGTATATGATGCACTGGGATAATGAAGATAAAAATTTTTAAAATAATGAAGGAATAACTATATATCAAAAATAAACATATTTAGAACTATATTATTTTTAATTAATATGATAGACAATAGGTTATATCTCTTAACATTAATTGGCAAAAACCAGTTTATCATTTGAAATGCTATGTTTGAAAAAAGAATATTCTATACTAGTGACCATAATTTTATGTTGCACACTAATGAATTTTACTTCAGAAAGACAAATAAAATCGTGGAAAAATAATCATGAAAAGTAAAATTACTCCATCAGAGAGTTAATCCCATTTTAGCAGCAGTGAATGTTAAACAGTTAAAATAATTAAAAAGTTACATATTGTAATACTATAGATCAGGCATAGTCTGTTATTACAGATATTTTACATTCTCAACCTTTTATATTTCACATATCTTCTAAAGTATGTATATGAAAATGGCGTATTCCTACAGATTATACAATAATGAGAATAAATAAAACATATGTATATGTATGCCATATATATTAAAATTTTTTTATATTTCTGTCATATCTTATACAATTTTATAGAATTTTTATATTTATATATGTTTTCTTTACAATTTATTTATACACTATATATATTTTAAATTATACATTTTTTTCATGCAATTAAATTTTATTATCTCTACATAAAATTATAAAATTTTAATATATTGCTCTATAGAAGTATCTCCAATAGAAGCAAATAAGATTTCATTTATTTCTTAAATATTCGTATATACGTGTCCATACATATGTCACATATACGTATGTAAAACTTAGTAGCGAACGTGTTATATAATTATATTATACACGGTTTAAATGTAAAAAGTAATTTTATTTCATTTTATTGAACTGCAGACACGAACATGTGAAATAAATATACCTGAAAACTTATCCGAAGTTATGAAACCTGCAGATTTACTCTACTGTTGCAATTGCACCAAACGAGGACATGATTCTTCTACATGTAATGAGTATCGATGGTCTCAACATTTTCCAACACCAGCATTTGTATCAAATTATACAGGCGAGCTACAAAATGAAGTTCCTACTTGTGAAAATATTAATGAAGATGTAATCCCATTAATTAAACCAACAAAAGCGAAACATAGAACATTTCTCCCAGATAAAAATGATTTAGAAGGTTCTTGTGTTATATATTCATATGGAACATTTTATACAAAGAAATTTAACGGCGAGCAAAATGTTCGAAAACTTTTCACACTTGATATACATCCTTCTCACTTGACGAGCCTTTTAAAAGGTCGTATTGCTCCAACTTTTCTTGATGAATTATCAAAAGTAGTTAAATTTGAGATTAAGATGTATTACGACGTAAGTAACGAATTAATGATTAGAGTTCGATCAATAGAACATTTGCCTCAACATATACTGGAACTTTTCCTTTATTGGCTTAAATTAGACGATGAAGATAAACACTTGGAAATTACTATAAATCTTCCTCGTGGAAACAAAAAGTTATCAAGACATTTAACATTTAAAATCGAAGAATTACATAAGAATTTGGGAGATCCAAATCATATTTGTGCCCAAATTGAGCAGTTAGAAATGTCACTGAATGCTACTCAAAATCCTCAAACCTCAGTTTCTATTTTACAAAAATTAATGGATTATAGAGCCAATTTAAGGAAAATATATCTAACTAAACCTAAGAATAATGATCTAATACTGCAATTAAGAAAATGTATTAAACATTTGAGAAAATGCTCAGTTGATGAAGTATACTTAGAGAAATATTTAAAAATTATTGTTATATATAACAAAATATTTTTACCTCGTAAATTAACAGACACTGAATTAAAACGTTTCCTTGCAAAATATTACAAAAAGCAGGAAAACAATAATAAAACAGAAAAGAATAATGAAATTAAAAAGGCTGCTAAAAAGAGAAAGCTATCGACTTATCTTGCATTCATAGAAAGTTTGAAATCTACTAATAGCAACACTGATGGGTGTTCATCAAAAAAAATTAAAGCGCAAGGTAAACAAAAACCTACTGTTGTATCTATTGAAAATATTTCAGTAAATAATAATATCCAGGGCATAACACATGTAGAAAATATTTGTAATGAAACATGCACATCAGAAAGACATGTTAATGAACATGTTAATATTGATTCCATAGTGCCTACACAATCGGCATGTAATGTTTCAAATAATAATGAAGTACTAATGACAAAGCCTATACGAAAAGTAAATTTAAACACTGTTTCATCAAATTTAATTACTATACCTCTTCAAAAATCCACACACAATGTATCGTTAAGGAGTCCTAAAAGTGTACCTTGTGCTAAAATAAAACCTTCAGAAAATAACACAGAAAAAGATTCAGAACTAATAAACAGTAATAACGAAGAAGCAAAAATAAATAAAGTACAGGAAAAACAAGATAATATAATTGATTCTGAAACAAGTATTACAAAGAAGAAAAAATGTAAGAAAGCAAAAAAAATAAAACTAGATCTTGAAAATAAGTTAGAAGTTACAGAAAATAAAAAAACTGATATTGATACGTCTTTAGAAAATAAAGCTAATGAGATTATAAATGAAGCTCTTGAATTTAATTTGCCGTATATGAATAAAGCTGTTGAAGAAGTTAGAAAAAAAATAAATGATAAAAGTCTTAAACAGGAGCATATTGATACTTTATTAAGATTAATAAATTTAGAGAAAGATCACAGGAAATATGTAAGTTCATTTTATAATTATTTGCAATGAATTTTATTTTTTAAAATACAGTTTTGTTTATGTGCTAATGTTAAGTACGTAAAATTTGTTGGCATTTTTCGTATATCAAATCTATAATTTTTTTTAAAAACCCTTTGTATAAAGTTGAAAAAAGAATAAATAATAAAAACCTTTCTTATTTAAATTAATACTTTGTAAGTGTACTTTACTGAAGGTGGTTGATTCAATCTCCTATATATATTATATATAATATAATATATAATATTAAAATAACTTTAAGTTTTATATTTGTATGTATAGATAATAAGTTTAAAAAAAAAGTAATAAATTTTAAGAACTTATACTTGCATATATCTTAATTGTATACAAGTTATATACTTAATTATATATTACATATTTTTAAAAAAATATAATTAAATATTATTTTTATTAACATAGAAAACTAGTATACATGTATTATTATCTTTGCCTATTTTTTTGTAAATAAAAAAAAAATTTTTTCAAGCAAAATGTAGTTTAATAAAACATGTTCATATTCTTTATCTTACACATATTTATTGTCTAAAACATAATGTTGCAATAATTAAATTTTACTTTGACTAAATATATATTATTATATCAAATATAAAGATAATATTTGCATTGTATTTAGTTTTTAAAATTTATTTTTACTGTTGATAAAAGAATTTATGATTGTTTCAGTAAGTTAGTACTCCAAAAATATTATACATTATAGAATGAAATTTATGTTTTAATATGTTATTTTTATATGTACATACGTATCAGTCAAATATTCTTATGATTAATGAATTACATTTATATCGATACAATTAAACTAATAAGAAATTATATTTATTCTCTTTATTACTTCTTCATTGGTGGAGGTCCTCCCATAGGTGGTGGTGGTCCATTCATCGGTGGCCTCATTGGCCCCATAGGTCCCATAGGACCCATCATTGGTCCCATTGGTCCCATAGGTCCCATCATAGGTGGTCTCATACCCATCATTGGAGGCATCGGTCCATGTGGTCCCATCATCATTGGACCTCCAGGGCCCATTGGGCCACCAGGATGCATTCCTGGTGGTGGCATCATACCTGGTGGACCCTGAGGAGGTACACCAGGACGTGGTCCAAGGTTTGGTGGTGGTGGAATTGCTGCTCCCTTGTTTGCTGCAAAGGGGTTAGATGCAATTTTTCCAGCTTTAAATGCTGCTGTTGTTGCATCAATTAGATGTTGCGCTTGTTCCTCCATCCATTTTTGATAGAAATATTTGACATTGTCCTTATGTTTACGACCCTGACAATGAGTTTTTCTTACACTTGGTGAATCATGCGTTAGATACGTGTCGCAATAATCACAATAATATTTCGGCATTGTTTTATTAATTAAACAGTGTAAGGAAATGTACTTTTCACACAATTGTTTGTAATTGCATGAATTTCTCACAGCTAAATGTTAATACTTTATTTTAGGTTATATACACACATATTTTTCGTTAAACGTTGACTATGACTGCAACCAAGATGTACAAGTTACATGGAAAAACTTAAATTCCCTATTATTCTCTATCTGTTGGTATAGGGTGTAGGGTAATTTCTAGTTCAATTTTCTGTTAATTTTATATTAATTAAAATAAAATTATTTATAATTTTATAATAAGAGGATAGCAGAAAGTTATGCAGTTATTATTTTTAAAATAATATCATCATACTAATGAAATTTATATGTGTAATTATTTATCAACAGTTTCCTAAATATTATTAATAAAAAACATTATTCATATTTATTTTTATATTTTTTTTACAATTTGTATATCCAATTTTTCTAAAATATAAATTTCGTAATCAATATTAAAATTGATAAAATGTAACTAGTTATTTGATTTATGATATTCTTTGTCTATTCAGAACATGTTACAAATAAACTGCATAATTTGAATACTTTTTATTACACCATACAAAAATTTAATGTATATTTTTTATATAAATTCTATATTTAATTCTAACTGTTACTTTCAATATTAACAAATTCAATATTAACATTATTAAAAAGTAACCTGTAACATTTAGGTTCTATAAAATGTACAAATACATAATGTAAATATTTAATTGAAATTTTATAGTTTGATTAGCATGTGGATATATGGAAGAGGAAAATGATATGAACATAGGTTAAGAGTAATATCAAAAATATGAAATATAAACATAGATTAATAGTAATATCAAAAATATGAAATACAAAGAAGATAATAATAGTTATTATACAAGATAAGAATACGTTGATTATAAACATATTATCATGCATTAATATAATAATTATATTAATGCATGATATTAAATCATTATACAATCATTTATTATTTAATATATAATATATAATGTTAAATCATCATGTAATTATATTTATTATTGAATATGTATGTACATATTATTTTTTTCAAAATATCTCATACATCTCAAAGCATCTTAATATAAAATTTAGATATTGAAGAGCAAAATATTACTTCTTTCATATTTTGTAATTTTATTGAGTCATTTTAATAAAACTTCAGACAATATGTTAATGTTATGTTGTTTTTATTAATTCTCGTAGAATTGGTAAATTTTGACTAGAAAAAACTGAGGTGTATACATAAAATATTTGTAGCAATGAAACATTCATTTAATAATAATTTTTAGATATTTCTGATAGAAAGAATATAAAGAATATAAAATATTATTCGAATACTTGTCTCTAGACAATTATTAATTTTGTAATCATACAGGCTGAAAACATAAAAGAAGAGATTTTATAATATTGTAATTAGAGCCTATTCTGTTTTATAATTCTGTTTTATATTACGAAAAATCTAATTAACAATGTATTGATCAAAAAATCATTTTGATCAAAGGATTTTAATATTGTAATTTCTTCAAATTAATTATTTACAATATCATATATTGTAAATAATTCTTGATCAATTGGATTCAATGATTTTTACGTAATAAATAGTTACGTATGAATATTATAATTGACACCTTAGAGAAAAATTATTGATCACCTCTAAATTAATAGGAAAATTAAATAACTGTATGGCAATATGACAAAACGAGTGATAACACCGGAATCTTAAAATTAAATTCTCTATGGACACGACCTGACGACAGCGCGTTGGCACTGTTCTTGAATTCTTAAAATCTGCAACGAGAGTTTTCGGAGAACCGAATTTACTGGGGCAATTTGTCGGTGGCCTTTGCTTGGCACCTGAAAACTCGTACTGCAGTTTTCGAGGATTGCCGAATCACTGCAGAAATTTAGATATTCTCCGTTTCTCTTGCCTCTCTTTTCGACAGAATAGATCCCATGTGTTCAAACTTTATCAGTATCTATAGATAAAAAAAACTGAAACATCATATAACAAAAAATTTATAAATGCTTTATTAGAAAATTATGATAAAAATATGAAATATAAACTTTTATATATTTATACAATGTACGTTTCAAAATGTTACCCCATTAAAGTGCTATTCAATTTATCGTGGATGAAATTTCTATTTCGTCAAATTTTTTTACATCCTTTACGTCTTGAAATCAATTCATTTTGTGTATATATTCCTATGTTGTAAACTTTTATTTTCAGACTCTCACAAATAGAAATCTAGAGATTACCTATGTATCTTATCTTATCTTGTATTAAACTAAGAGAGTATTCACCTATATGTGTGCCACATTTTATGTCTTTATTATAACTTTTTAATGAAGCATTTATGATATAATATTTTAATCTTATTTTTAACTATAGAATACACTGGTAAAAATGTAGGACATCTTGTACAAAATACAATTCAAATGAATTTTTTCAATTTAATTGTGACATATACATGTATAAGTAGTTATTATAATAAAATAATTAAAATCAATTAGTATAATTAAAAAGTATTAATTGAAGATACATTAGTCTGTATAGTAAAGACACTTTAGTCTGATGACTTTAAGTACATATCTGTTTGATGTTGAGATATTAGAAAAATTGAAATATGTGTTTCTAGTCATATTCAAAAAGTTTATACACATTTTATGAACTATTAGCTATTTATTAAAAATGAATATAGAATTGATGAGTGATGTAAATTGTACTAAATATATTCCTTGTTTCAAATTAAATTTAGCAAAGCATTAGATCTCACAATCAATTGTGATATAATAAAATGTAGAAAATTATTAATCTTTTGGTAGAATTGCACTAGGTGTTCAATTATTTATGCAACATAATATGCAGAAAGAAATCAATTGAATACTATGATTTACATCTGAAGAATGGATAAAGTTTAGTACAATTTTAATTAGTATTATATTGTATTTATTGCTTTCAATTAATATTATTTAATTTTTCGTAAATATATTTATTAACGAGAATATCTATGTATAATATGCATATGTGATATACATATGAGACTGTATATGTATGTACAATACAAAGTTTTCATAGCAACCGATTTAAATATTTTAAATATTCTTAAAATTTTATTCTAATAAATAATATAATTTTATTCTTATAAATAATATGAAGTATGAACATAAATTATTTTAATTGAACAAAGTTAAGTTTTAAGTACCGTTTTAATGTTTTACAGTTATTCCTAAGTTATTTTTGTAACGTAGTGTATACATATACATATATGCTTATTCACATAACGAACGTAACTTCGGAAGTGAAGTTACAAATTGTTAGAAAATAGCATCACGCTTGTGCAGAGATTTGGGAACGTATATCTAGTCAATGTGTCTAGTGGTTACGCCTGTGAACACAGGAGTAACAATTAATTTCAGATGCAGCTTATATGTTTCACTGACAGAAGTTTGCTCTTACTTGGATTAAGTTATATGTATGTGCTAGATTTCTGAATAACGCTTCAACTATTATTAGAATTATATAGTTGAAAATAACGTAATGTAAATATCAATATAAAGATTATAATATTGTCATTTGTTGCAGGAAAGTATCACTTCAAATACTCTAAAGTACCACAAAATACCATTATATTTCTTTATTTATATTTTCTACTTTTTTTTATTGATCTTTTTTTTCATTTATTTTATATATGCATATAACAGACTACGTGTATCAGTGTTCGAAAAATGATTACGTGAAATGATTAAGATAATATTTGGAATAGTATTTAAATTACCACTGTTTCTACATACTATGACAATTTATAATATATTTTATAAGGAAAGGACAAAAAATTGAATATCTTATAAATATTTAAGAATTTCTCATGAATTTTGTGTATTAAATTTAGACCAGAGCTTTTTATTTTTTATTCCAAATTAATAATTCGTGTGAAATGCACGCGTATTGGGTTTAAATTAGTTAGAGATTTTAGCGCCAACGATAAAATACGTAATATACTTCCTACGATTCTCGAACTCGAAATCGG